TTTATATCCACACAAATTTCCTTCTATCCTTAGCCTAATAATGCATATGTCAGATACAAATAATGTTATATCATAAATACGTCCTCAAGTATATTATTAAAATATAAGATAGTAATAAAATTTTTGTATCATTTAACAGCAACTCATGATAATTCCATAGATATCAATATATTTTAATATTAATCATAATCAATAGCAATAAATCTTAAAATCAAATAACATATCAAAATATTTATTTGAAAAATCATAATGTTATATTTCAGTAATAAGAAAATTAGTAAATCCATGATATAATCATACACAATTCACATGTATAAGAAAAATTTTTTAGAGTTACTTGGTACTCTTTGGCTTACAAATAATCACACAATGATTACTCCAAAATTCTCAAAAGTCTACAAAATTACACATAAATATTTATTAATGTAAAATTCAAAACTATTCCAAAATTACTCTAAAATTCTAAGACTATCTTCTAAACCAAAATTACATAAATATATTAACTCTCCCAAATCTGCCCATTTATAATAGATATAATATTATTTCAAAAATATAATTTACACATAAGACTATTTAAATTTAACAACTTAAGTAAATATATTTTTATTACCCAAAATTTAAATATTTTATATTAAAATTCTCAATTATTTATTATAGTCTCCTTTAAACATTTTTCTCAAACCAAACAACTTCCCTGAATTATAAACAAACCTAAACTTTATTTAATTTCATAAAATTCTCAATTTACAATTCTTTAAGCTTTCAAAAATTATTTCAATGATATTTCTTTGACACATTCAATATTCAAACCGATTAAAATCTCAATAGTATATTAAATAACTCAAATAAATTATTTAACTGAAATTTAATCGGTAAAAATATTCTATATCTTTGAATAACAAATTTTTTAACTAAAATCTTAATTTAAAATTCTCAAAATAGTCATTGAACAAATATAAACCGATTAAAATTCCTTAACAATGTATCTTTAAATTTTTTATGGTCATATATTGTCAGAACTCTATATTTAATTTATATCCAAACAGTAAAATTTTCTCTAAACATTATAACGAGACTAATAATATAATGCTCTAAATATATAGAAGATACTCATAAAGAAAATTTGATTAAAAAAAAAGTATATTTGTATACCTAAGTGATCTCCAAAACTTGTCACGTATTCTGCAACTCAGCACACTTACTCTCTTTTCCTCTTTGGCTCTCGCTCTCTCTTTCTCTACTTGCACAAAGTGAAAGGAAGAAAAAAGCTGCAGGTATTTAATATCACAACATTTAATTCTCTTCCTCGATTTTCTTCTGCCAACACCCATCCTATTTCTTCTTCAACTGCCCCGTATATTTTGTTTTTCAACCTACATCCTTCCTTCTTCCTTCTTCAATTAATACCACTCCCAATTTTTCCACCTTCGTTTACTACTCCTTCCCAACATTCTTTCCTCATCCATTCATTCCTTTCCTTTTTTTTCCTTCTCTTCATTTAATACTCCTTCCCAACATTCTTCTTTCATTTAATACACTCCATATTTTTCCAACCTGATTTACTACCCTCCCCCAAAATTCTATTCAAAAGTCAAATGCCACAACTTTCCACCAAATTCGGTGGAAAGTTGTTTCTTTTTTTTTCTGCAAAAAAATAATAAAATATTATTATATATATTTTAATTACAATTTTTAAAAAAAAAAATAGTATGTTACAATATGCTTTTCTAATCATTTTTGTCATTTTATAGTCTTAACAAATTATAAAAGTTTTTGATTTCTAACTGTTGTGAATATAAGTGGGTGTGTCAAAAGTAAAATGCCACATTGCTTAAGAGAGAGGAGGTTCAAGTGTATATAAACTATCTTATATTTTTGGACTAGTGAATGGACCTAGAGGAGAAGAAGGATCTTGCGTGCATGACAACGACTTGACAGAGAAAAATGCAGTTAAAAATTGGCGATTTCCCCTCGGTGCACAAGTTAAGAAAGTACTTGGCACATTTTACAGAAATTTTTTGCAAGTGGGTTAATGCTTGCTAACGTCTAGAAATTCAATTTTGAGTACCTTTAAAGTTCATAAATGAAGGTTTAAATAGTATTTATTGTGTCAATGTCTGAAATCAAAAATTTAATTGTGTTTATTGTCACAAGTGTAGTGTCCATCACTCAAATGCTCTGTGATCCTATATAATAGGGACAAAGGGTTTGTTACACTGGCTCTTGAGTTTTCGAGCACTTATCTTCTCCCTTGTGATTTTCTCCTCTCATTCCTTTGCTATTGAGTTACATCTGTATTTTTGTTGTTCTATTACCTTATTTGTTGCAGGAGGGGCTCGTTTAATTCTGGATAGCATCTCATCCACTTTGCCTTTGGTGAGGAATAACTCTTACGGATAGTGTCTCTGCCACGACTTTGTGTCTTCAGTACGACTCCAACCAATTCACTATCCAGTTGTTTTAGTGATCTTCTAGCACTAATTAAACAAATGATTCCAACTAATCACATTTGTTGAGAAGCAAACATAACATGCAACTTTTGAAGTGATAGGGTGGCAAGCTAATTCTTCAATGCCGGCTAAGAAAAAATGATATATATATATTTATATATATATTCCCTTGAATGAGTTTGGCTACTCATCTCTCTTGATGAGAATTTCAAACTCATTATATTTGGACAGTCTAGATTTAATCTAGATAGTCCAATTTTTTTATTTTTTAAAATAATTATTTTAATGGGTATAGAACAAAATAAAGATAATCTTGCAATTATAATCTTTTCAAAAAAATAATTTTTATTTAAAAATAATTAATTAAAAATATTAATTTGGACGGCCCATATTACTCAGGATGTTAGGTGTCAATTTGTTTCCTCTGTGCTAAATTTGGAGCAAGAAATAGGTAAAAACTACTACCTTACCTCATTAAAAAAAAAAAAAAAACCTCATTACGTCATAAGATATCAATGTTGGATCTGAATCTACTAAAAATTCTACAAATAAAACCAATAGATAACTTTCTATCACTATTTAAAATCCTATTTTTAAAAAACTAAATTTTCTTCTATGATGTGATTTCAATTATAATAGTTCCTTAATATAAGAGCTAATTAACTAATTTGAATATATTAAAAAATTAGTTAAGTTAATTATTTGTAATAAATAGGTATTATTTTTTCTAAAATATTCTTGCTAGTCATGTGTATTGGCCAGAACTAGTTAACTACCATTTGATACAATCTTTAACATATGTACTGACTACAAAACATGGATAAATATGAGACACAAAGTAAATTAAGGTTTTATATTCAGGACCAAATTGAATGCCAAACTAGTTCTTATATTAAAGACAAGAAGTTATATTTAAATTATCCACTAGCCTTTTTTTTTCAGATTATTTACTTTTAATAACTAGTCATCCTATTTCACATCCTTTCATCTCCTTTACCCCTTCATTATACTCAACTACAACCCACCCGTGTCATTTATCCAATCATATTTTCTTAAGGTGGCTTCATTAACAATAATTCACATTACTGTTTATGTCGTGATTAATGTAATGTCATATGGATTTTATATTTTTCAAAATGGATATAAATCTCATATTTTATGTTGAACTTCTTGAATTTTAGAGAGAAAATAATCACAATAATAATAAGGTTTGATCATTCAAATGCTTCAATCTTTTATTTTATGAACATAGATTACAATTTTTAAATATAAATAATTAATATTTTATAGATTCACATAGAATGCAGAGAATTCTAATAAATTAAAGAAATAGTCAAAAAAAAAATTAAATTACTTGTTCGTAAGATAAAAATAATAGAGAATTCATATATATATTTATATTAACATTCTAGTTCATTTTATTTACAGAGTCATACTTATTTAGGGCCACGTAGTGATTATAGTAAAGGACCAAAAATTTATATAATCCTTTAATATAATTATTTTTTTTTAGTACAGGAGCATCGCAAATTTTTCAATCACATTTGTTGTCATTTGATTGTGTAAAAAGATTAAAATTTAACCATGCTTTGTCAACATTTAATTTTTGAGTCACCATTTAAATTTTCGAAAATATTTAACAGGGTTAAGATTAAGATCTGCGGAGACTAAACTAAATCTTGTGTAAAATTAACGGACCAAACTTATACTTTAGCCTATCTTTTCTAAATCATAAATTCTATTTTTAAGAAAAGTGGCAATTAAAGATTATTTTATTTTGGAATTTGCATATATTAAAATTAGAAACATATTATAGTAGAATAATAAAATAACTTGAAATCTACACTATCCAATTAACCTGCCCGGAATAATCTGTACTACAATCCTATCTGAAATTAATTAAAAAAGATGAGGTCTTATTCCATGACAAACATTTCAACCTTTTCCTTTATCATATCATTATTAACCACAACTTATAATAATATAAACAAAAATTAAACAATGAATTCTAACGTTAAAACAAATTTGAATATCATATATTTTGCCGTCTTCTCGCTTTATTATCTTAAAACAATTAATATTATCAATGTATGCAAATTCATCACAATTTTTTATGTTTGCAGAGCGGGTCCCTAAGGATCAATGTGTAGATTTCAACCCCCTTTCTTTTTTACCGCCAGGACAATTAGACATCCAACCCGTGATCTTTCAACCAGTTAATAAAAAAGCCCAATGCAAAAAACTTTAGAACAATTATAAAATTACAAAAATGAAACCATTCGTTTTCTACCCACAGAATTGAAAGAACCCAAAGGAGGATATACGCAATATCTGGTCTTTATCCAATTCAAAAATCAAACAAGAAAAATTCAAAGTTTATCTTAGAAATCCAAACCAAATATAATTTGAAATTCATAATCCAGCTCTATATAATCCTAGACACTTGTGAAAATATTAAGTTAATCCTAGACTTCTCCAAAAGCCACCGTGGAACAAGAAGCTCAAGATGAACAAGAAGCAAGAATTATTATAGAATCAGCAGCTTCAACCATGGATCCTCTTCAAGACCGACCATCACCAAGAAACCTAGACAAAGTTGAAGAGATTCTTGGATACATCTTCAAGAATAAATGTTTATTGGAAGAAGCTTTCACACATTCGTCTTATTATTATACTAAAGATAATAATAACAATGAAGCTGAAATAAAATGCTTCTCATTTGAGCGTTTAGCGTACCTGGGAGACGCTGTACTTTATTTGTTGGTCACCAAGGAGCAGTTCTTCTTGTATTCAGATGTTTCTTCGGGTCAGTTGACCCGGCTCCGAGCCGCCAATGTTGACACCGAGAAGCTTGCATGCGTGGCTGTTGAGCATGGGCTACATTGTTACCTTTGCCACAAGCAACCTCTTCTTGAAGAACGGGTAAGTTAATTTGTCAAATCTGTGTTTGATTTTAAACCCCTCTAGAATAACTTATAAGTAACTTTTCATTCATGATTTATAGAATACAAAATAAGCATATAAGAGAAGTTTATTTCAACTTATGTGAAAGGTGTTTATGAGTGTTTTTAGATGTTATCTCAAACAAGCCTTTTATTAGTTAGTAGTTACTCAATGTGCCTTATTCGAAATTGGATTGTTTTTAAAATTGAGTTTATAGGATCAATCTTTTTCTATTTTTCAAATCTTTTCAATTTTTAATTTTTCTTTTATTTTAAAAAATATAAGCTTTTACTTTCAGGAAATCTAAATTTGTAACATACCTGAGTTTGATTAGTTTTTGCTTGAACTTTTATTTTTTTAAGTAATTTTAAAATTGAGTATATATGGTTTATTTAATTAAAAATTAAAATAAATGATATATGTGATGGAAGCAGATAAATGGTTTCAAAAAAGAAATATTGGAGTATCCAATTCATTCGAATGGGCTTGTAGATGTTCCGAAGTGTCTTGCCGATTTAGTGGAATCCATTATTGGAGCAATCTTCATTGATTCTGGCTCCAACATCGACTTGTATGGCAGGTATCAATTTTCTCCTTTCCTTTTACAAAATCTAATTATAGTTTATGATGTACATATATCACATAATATAAATTATATGTAATATTTATTGATGAACAAGTGTGACAGATCGACGGCTTATCATATGAAAGGCAGAAGTAAAAGAACGGGCCGGCTCTAACTAACTGCATTCCCTTTTTTTTTTTTTGAATAAATAAACACATAAAAATTATTTATATATCAACGTTATTGGTTTTAATAAAAAGAGTTAATCTATATAATGTGGTGAATCGATGATCAAATTGAAGTATCCAAATTTTGCACACAATCATGTTCCGAATAGGATTGATTCGAATAAGACAATACTTGTTACCAATAAAAGAAATAAAAATGAATTTTATTATTTTTAATTTTTATTAATACTATCTTCAGTTCTTAATATAGGAGCTAGATAACTAATTTAGAAATATTAAGAAAATTAATTAAGTTGGTTATTTATCACAAGTATTTAGTTATCTCCTGAAATTATCTTCTTTAATCATATATATTGGATTATTAGAATTATCTCTTGATAGGAACCCATGCAATTAATAGGAATATTTTAGAAAAAGATGAGAGACAAAATTGATTGAAATTGTATATTTAGAATCAAAAGTAACTCTCTGGGCAGCTCTTATATTAAGGACAGAAGGTAACAATATAAAACAAATATTATATATATCATGTTACAATAAATATTTGATAGATTATTTAGATTGATTGGGCAAAATGAAAGACATGAGATGCTTTTACAGGTTTTTAGACGTTTGTTGGAGCCATTGATAGATGCAGAAACCCTAAAGACACATCCAGTGACAAAGCTATATCAAATTTGCCAGAAACATAATTTGAAGGTTCAATTTAAGGATTCATGGGAGGATTTGAAGGCAGTGGAGGTTCTGGTTAATAATCAATGGGTTGGAAGTGGCACCTGTAGTTCCAAAAAAGAGATCGCTTATAATAGAGCTGCACAAGATGCTCTCAAAAACATTCAAACTATTTTGAGCATTAAACGCAATAATTCAACTTTGGATGACATTGTGGATTAAATATTCTCGTGTACTTTATGTTCTTCCATTTCACATATATCAAATCATGTATTCCATGAGCATTGTCCGGTATACATATGCATTAACAAATTTAGTCTCATATTTTTACTCCATCACACTATGAATAATCTGCCAAAAAAAAAAAACCAACTAAAACTGGTTTGAATATTACTTCCTCCATTATTTATGACGTCGTTTTAACTAAATTATGTTATGGGAAAAAGATAGAAAAATGACACTTGAACTTCATAATCCCCAAATGGTCTGCTCAATTTGAAAAATCCCAATTTGAGACCAAATTAGGATTATCATGTTAAAAGAAAAGATGAAATTACCCTTCATTTTAAATATTGTTTTAAAAATATTACAACCCCTATTGGCCAGCCGGTTGTCGGAGCTCTGGCAGCGGTAGTCACCAGAGCTTCGGTGGCCAGTTGACAATTGGTCAGCGGAACTCCGTTGGTCGGAAAATTTTTGTTTTGAAAAATTTTACAACTTCAGTATAATAGTTAACAACTTTTGCAACACTATTAACAACTTCAGTATAACAGTTAACAACAGGTTTTCTGGAAAGTTCAACAAGCTTCGGTGACCAGAAACAATTTTTTTTTTAAATTTTTACAACTTCAGTATAACAATTAACAATTTTTGTGACGCTATTAACAACTTCAGTATAGCAGTTAACAAGTTTTTTGGGAAATTCAATAATTGGTCGCTGGAGCTTCAGTGGCCGAAAACAATTTTTTTTGAAAATTTTTACAACATTAGTATAACGCTTAACAGCTTTTGTAATGCTATTAACAACAGGTTTCTCAAGAAATTCAAAAAGTAGCAATTTTACAACTTCAGTAATGTCGTTAGCAAGTTCCGTAACTTTATTAACAACTTTAGTATAACATTTAACAACATGTTTTCTTAAAAATTCGAAAAAATGGTATTTTTATAACCTTAACAACTACTTTTTAAAAAAAAAAATTTTACAACTTCAGTATAATGGTTAACAACTTTTGTAACTCTATTAACAATTTCGATATAGCAGTTAACAACAGGTTTTTCGGAAAATTCAAAAAGTAGCATTTTTACAACTTCAGTAATGCTGTTAACAAACTCAAAAACCTGTTGTTAACTGCTATATTGAAGTCGTTAATAGGGTTACAAAAGTTGTTAATCGTTATACTGAAGTTGTAAAAATTTTCAAAAAAATTGTTTTCTGCCGCCGGAGCTCTAGCCACTAATTATTGAATTTTCCAAAAAACTTGTTGTTAACTGATATAATGAAGTTGTTAAAAGTGTTACAAAAGTTGTTAATGGTTATATTGAAGTTGTAAAAATTTTCAAAGAAATTGTTTCCGGCCATCGGAGCTTGTTAAATTTCCCAGAAAACCTATTGTTAACTGCTATACTGAAGTTGTTAATAGCATTATAAAAGTTGGTAACTGTTATATTGAAGTTATAAAAATTTTCAAAAAAAAATTTCTGAATGACGGAGCTTTGGTGACCAATTGTCGGCTGGTTGCCAGAGCTCCCGTGACTGCTGCCACCGGAGCTCCAATGACCAGCCAGCTAGTAGGGGCTATGATATTTTAAAAACAATATTTAAAATAAAGGGCAATTCAGTCTTTTTTTTTAACATGATAATCCCAATTTGGTCTCTTGAGACCAAATTGGGATTTCTCAAATTCAGCAAACCATTTAGGGATTATAAAGTTCAAGTGTCACTTTTTTGTCTTTTTCCCTTATGTTATTTAAGAAAATAGTTAAAATTAGTTAAAAGTAATAAGCATGTGAAAGTTAAACTTTTGTTCAAAATATATTCATATTTAATAAGAGAGAAAATAAGAAAAAGAAATACTAGTAATAAAATGAAGGATGAAAAAGAATGTAGTATGAGAAAAATAAGGAGAGAAAACAAAAAAATTAAGAGCAAAATTGATAAAAAATAAATTTAATATTCAAACACTTTTAAGCAGGATCCTATAAAAAAGATGAGAGGGAGAAGTATTTAATATTTTTTGCCGGAAAATAAAGTAATTCAATAAAATTTGATCAGCGCATAAACCAAACGGATATAAATCAGTAAAAGAAAGTGGACTAAGGGGGTTTTTGGGAAGCCCAATAAGTACTTTAAAAATAGTTAAAATTAGCTAAAAGCAATAAGCATGTGAAAGTTAAACTCTTGTTCGAAGCATATTCATATTTAATAAGAGAGCAAATAAGAAAAAGAAATACTAGTAATAAAATGAAGGATGAAAAAGAATGTAGTATGAGAAAACTGAGGAGAGAAAACAAAAAATTAAGAGCAAAATTGATAAAAATAAATTTAATATTCAAACACTTTGAAGCTACACTCGAAAGGTATAAAATCCTCCAAAATACTAGTACTTCCTGTGTTTGAAAACGAATTCAAGTGTTTGGCCAATAAAATCTCAAAACATGAACTTTTCACCGATTTTTCCTGAGTTGTAAACTTTCAAAACTACCCTCAACAAAATGTACTCATTCGGTTCTCAATGTAAGACTAATTACTACCTCTAGTTCTTAATATAAAAGTTAGTTGAGTAATTTGAATAGATTAAGAAAGATTATTAAGTTAATTATTTATAATAACAAGTATTGTATTGCTTAAAATACCCTCACTAATTATGCGTATTAGTTAAGACTACCATTTAATAAAACTTTTAACATGTATACCTAATGCAAGGATTATTTTGAAAAGACTGGATAAATATAAAAGACAAAGAGGGTTGAGATTTTATATTTAGGAGCAAATTAAAAGTCAAGCCAACTCTTTTATTAAAGAGCGGAGGTAGTAACTAATTTGGGTAGATTAAGGATATTAGTTAAATTAATTAATATGATATATTTTTTTTCTAAAACACCCTAAGGATCTTCCTTAATTCTCTCCCTTTTCCTCTTACTTGATTATTGTTGGGAGAATATCAATAGAGTCAATTTGAAAAAAATTGATAGTTCTTATAAATAGGACTAACATTAACTCTATAATTAGCTCCTGTACTAAAGACAAGAAGAATATTAGTAAGATATGAGTTTTTGCTTAATTAGTGAGGGGTATTAGGTGAGAAAAATTTAACGTGTTGGATAAAGCATGTTATAACAAGTAGTGTTGGAAGCTGAGGTAGATATAATGCACCACGAAGAGCGATTCAAAAGACCTAGCTAATACATAAGCCGTATCATTTCAAAGCTTCTTGTTGACGAAGGATTTGGATCAACAAGCACTATCATGATTATTATTCAAAAGCGCATATATATATATAGGTAGACAACCATTGAGCATGCATAGCTATTGCCTATTGAGAATGTCTCCGAGCACTTGAGTGTCATTTCTTGACACTATCTTAAGCTTGGCTAAGCAACCAAAGACAACATGAAACAACATTCATAATCAGCTGGATGTTTGTCCATCAAAGTGCGAAAGAAATCTGACACATCACTACTGTAGAAAAGGCCTTTTATAACGGTTAAAATTACATGAACGTTTTACATAGGTTTTAAAGCGGCATCTACACGGTCGACATAATAAATTAGAGGATTCAATGGGGATTGTGAAACAACTATGATAAGTGACTTTTTACAGCGGTTTTTAGGTTCAAATACAATTTGCACAGACTGTTTGAGAACAAGAATCCCCCCGTAATCAAGTTTACTGCGCAAATGGCCCGTGGCAAAAGCCCTTGAACAGATGCCATTTCGCAAGATTGTGACGCGGAGTGCATGAGGACTTGAGTTGAGTGTCATTTCTTACACATGGTCATGAAATGAACAAAATGTCCACGTCTAACTTTTCACTGGAGTTGTATCATATTTGACATTCTACCCAGACTTAAAGTCGAGACCATATTTGGACATCCATTAGACCGGCTGAGAGAGGTGTCTAAATTTAAGAACTAACTTCCAATAGAATTATCTCCGATAATGAGATACTTGTATTTAGCAGAAAAAATTTGTATATTGTGCTTTGAGAATTAAAGGTTTATTTTTGGGAATTTTTTTTTGAAAAAAAAGGCTAAAGGATAATGTTTAGCTGGAAAATATTATGAAAATTATTTTAGATGGAAGAGATGATAATTGGGAGTAAGTGTATTTTAGGGATTATTTTTCAGATGATATTTTATTTATTTATTTATCAGAATAATCATAACTTAGAGCTGAAATTTTTTATTTAAAATTCCATGAAAATTAGATTGTCTTCAATGTGATCTGATTTAAATGATCCTTAAAATAACCTTAGTCCTTTTCATATTATATAATAATATAAGTCATATTATTTTTTTATATTGGGATCAATATTATCTGTTTTGCATTTTAATTTCATATTATCAAAATAAAAATGAATAAGCATCTGGGCATGTCTTGAAGGTAATGCCAATCCCATGCAGGAGGAAACCGGTTTAGAACTTCTCCTCTTCCCTTCCCATCCTTTTTTCTTTTATTCTTTTTTAAATCATTAGATTAATATTTTAATGGGTCAGATTTAAATCTTTTAAAAACTGTTATTAAATATTAATTATAAACATAAATAAATAATAATTACAAACTATATTAAAATTTAATTCTACTAGTTTGCAAATACACTAAATATTTTTAAATTTTTAATAAATAGTTTATAAAAAATTAAAAATCTAAACTGTCGAAATATATTAATTTAATGCGAAGAGGATGGAAAAGGAGATGAAAGATCTGAACTGGAAAGAAAGAGCTAAAGTGCCGCCATTTTTGTCAACAATCTTATATCTGTTAAGTTGAATTATCCAATCAAATCTTGACATGTGTGTTTTTTAATTATTAATAATGGTCTAAACAGAATTTTGATATTTTATCAATGTAATTTTTATTATCAAGAAAATTTCATACGCTAAAATTTGATAGGAATTAAACATAAAGAATAAAAGGTAATGATCCTAAGTTTTTTCTTTTATTTAGTTATTTATCTGATGTATTTTGTGAACCAACACGTTTGAATTATCTTGAGCTCTATT